GTTTCGGCTAGTGTACGTAGACGAGTTATGTAGCTATCTACCGATTCTCCAGGCGTTGGATGTGTCTGTTTAAACACATAGCGTTCATATATTACGTTCTTTTGTGGCTGAAAATATTCGTCGAGCTTCTCTAGAGCTGTTTTGAAATCTGTCCCGGTGTCTTGTAGTGTTTTGAATATTTTATGAACCGACGGGCCAGCTACGTACAATAACACTGCGCGTTTCTGTGCATCATCCTTGATGTTGGCAGCTACTGTATACATATTAAAACGTTCTCGCCATTCTTTCCAGCGTTGGGCTAGCGAGGAATTATCACCCTCTGCATCAAACGGAGGTGGTGGTTTTAAATCCAAAGTTGTGGCCATCGAGATTTCTTCTGTGTTCACTTCTTCTTCGTTTGGGTTCAGCATTAAAATAAACTCGTCGCCAAATATAATGTATCTCTTTAGTACAAGTTGTACAGTATAAAAATGTACTTTTATTGCCTTCAATATCAAAACCCTATTTCCTTACACGTGGTCTCTTTCTGATACCTAAATATATATTACATCACGTGACATGACGTGACTACATTACACTTCTTTCAACTTTTGTTCGTTTATTTAATAATATAGACATTTCAAAATTCAAATGTTTCACTTCAATCAAAACACGAAACGTCTGCGAACAGGCTATGATGTTTACAATATCCAATCAGAACACGTAGTCTATCGAAACTATAGTCAGCAGCCAATCAACTCTTTCTTTCCAATTTTGAAAGTTATGTGTGGAATGAACCCGAAAAACCCCGCCAATTTACAGATACAGATATTTCACAGCACACTCCCTATAGGGCTTTTCAGTGACTGGTTACATTATGAATAGATAGATAGAATCGGACTGACGTGAAGCAGACCGAGGTAGACTTTGAGCTTACAAATGGCGCTTGAGCAGCCGCTGTTAGCCCATACCTCATTAATGATCTGTCTCCAGACCTATGTGCCTAACCCACCCTGTCAACTTTCCCTGTGGGAGGAAACACGGAGTACCCGGAGAAAACCCACGACTTTCGGCAGAGCGTTGACTTTTACTCTTTTCACATGAGGACTGGGTTCGAGTCAAATTGAGAAGTTCTCACTGAGATTCGAACCTGCGGCCTTAGAGGTGAAAGGCAAGTGCGCTAACCACTTCGCCACCGAAGCCAGAGGGTTATTCAAAACAGGGTTATTCAAAACAGGCGAAAATAAATACCCTCTGGCTCCAGGGTATACTATTACCCATACAAATATGAATCAAAGGGAAATATACACGGAGCTATGCAATAACAGTTCTCTGCAGGGTATATATGTATAGGAAATATTTTTAGAACTTGTACAAATTCATTTCAATTATTTCATTTCAGATATTCATTATAAGTTGTTTGAAGAAGTCCCAATGGGGTGGCGAGACAGCAATTTGTGATAATCGTGACTTCCATGTAAAGTTAGACCCAGCATTTGTCCAGAAATGTGAAGATAGAGAAATTCGTTATTGGAACTGTCTACACAGTAAGGATAGTTATAAAAATCGTTATCAAAGCTGGCAAATGCGTTTTATAACCGAAGATAAGGATAAAGTTAACGATTTTTTAAAAAATGAAAATTATCATTATTCCTGG